AAGCTTATCACTGGAAAGTGGATCTATGCCGGAAATATTCATTATATTTCTCGAGAACTGGCACAACAATTACTGTAGAAGTATTCTTTTAAGAATTGCATGATTGATGGACCAAGCTTACTATCAAACAACCGAGATCCGAGACGCAACAATTGCTCTAATCCAATGACTCTCCGCGATAACGCTCGTCCGTATGGGTACTGCACAACGAAGTTTCTCAAAATAACAGGCTTCGAGAATAAACTAAGGAGCAAGCTAATGAAAAATTATAAAGAAATCATTTCTAGTTTTTTTTTTTTTCGAAATCTGGATAACGGGACAGAAAATGAACTGCAAACCAAGTAATTTTTATTAGAAAGTAAAGGCCAACTTCATGAAAAAATAATCACATTCTGAATCCGGTGTACTGCTAAGATTCAAATTCAAGATGTGAAATTATTTATCGCTTTGAGTGTAACGATTATTTTAATTTCGTATAAATAAGTTAAGGATATTAAAAATTTAATTCCCCGTTATACCTACTATCCTTAGGCGCGGAAAGATTTTTCCAAATTTATATGGGAATATTTATCTGAAGTCTAAACAATTTAATTTAAAAAATATATCAAAATTGGTTCATAATTGACTACGAGATCGCGTTACATATATCCAAAAAATTCACAGTCCAATTGTAAACCTCCTCCTTGTCTTTGATATCGGCTAAAAAGGCGTTAAGAATCATGAAGTTAAAACTCACTGATACCTCCACTACGTGATGAATAACAGTTAACTGAAATTGAAATGACAAAATTGCGTAGACAATGATGACCTGGAACTAATTAAATATTAAATTGTAACAAAAAAATGTTTGTGACAATATAATATTTCTAAATCAATTACTGATAAACAAGCATTCTCAGTACTCAGGTTGCAACGCTTCTTTACACTGTTTATTATCGAGAGAGAGGATCAAGTATCTGTTTGCCACAGTGCCCACTTACCATCAAGTATGTTTGATACTTACTGTCATAGAAAATAACCTGCATATAATCTGTTGTTCATACGTACGTAATACGTATCATATAGCAAAATTAACGTAGGGTCTGGGTGAGCATTTATTGAATAATAAAAACAATATCTACAACCATTATTGAAAACCAGTTTGTCACATTAAATAAATCGACCGGCGTAAAATAAATCCCGCGGTATGCGTAACGCTAGATAAAGGGAAGCTACCCTAAATTTTGTTATATCATTTATCTGGTAACATTCGTATATTATGTATAGTGTATACACGTTTACAGTGTGCCCGCAACTCATTTGCTTTGAAATATTACGATTAAATACATAAGAACTATAGTAAACTAGTTTTTTTATAATGACTTCTTATATTTACGCGAACACTACACATTTAAATGTTCGATCTACGTTAAAATTAAAAAAATAATAATTTTAATCACGAAAAAAGTTAAAGTTAACCACGGCTACTAGAGGTAGCCGTGGTTAACTATATTGGGACGTCATACACCTCAGTCCTTCCCGTGACCATGAGTGGTGTAAAGTGCTCGAAACGTCGGGAATATAAAATAAGATAATTAGGGGCTTAAACTCTTATTCATTATATTATATCATTTATCTTAGCACCGACTTCAGAAGCTATTATGTAGAAATTATCTAATTGTTTTAAGTTGTTTGAAGACGATTTTTACTTTTAATTAAATTTTACTTTAATAAAATTGAAGTAAAATTTTCTATATTATACATATTATACATTAAGCACTACTTTTTTCTAAGACTGTTTTGTGACACTACAAAAAAAAAACAATGATTACTGGAAAAAACTTATTAATGAAAATTAAATTATGTGATAATTTTCTTTAAGGGCTACAAAACTAAAAAGAACAGATCTTAGTTTTCATCAAATGATTAAAATGAATCAGCAACTGTAGTTCATAGTTAGTTTCGTCGGGTCTATCAAATATTAATTCACTAGCTGTTCCCTGCGACTTCGCCTGTGTGGTAATATTTTGCGCGGAACCATAAAATAAAAGTAGCCTAAGTTACTCCTTATAACATCAGCTATCTGCCAGTGAGTCCCGTCTAAACAAATTGTTTTTTTCCGACTTACTTAACATTTATAGTTATATTTTGGCCAAATTACACAATATTTTTATTAATTATAGTTTGTGTTATTTTGATGTATAAGCTATATAACTGTAAAGTTTCACGAAAATCCATTCAGTAGTTTTTGCGTGAAAGAGTAACAAACATCCATACATACTCACAAACTTTCACGTTTATAATATTAGTAGGATTCCTTTTTTTTTTAATAGGAGAGGGGGCAAACGAGCATGCGGCTCACCTGATGGTAAGTGACTTAAGCCGCCCATGAATAACCGCAATACCAGGGGAATTGCAGATGCGTTGCCGGCCTTTTAAAACGGAGTAGGCTCTTTTCTTGAAGGTCCCAAAGTCGTTTAGGTCCGGAAAAATCGCTGGTGGTAAACTATACCACAAGGAAGTTGTGCGAGGAAGAAAACATCCTACAATTATACATCCAAAATCCGAGTTTATTACAAAATTATTATCAAACGGATCTTAACGTACGATACTCAGGGTTGGACACTTACATTAAGAGTAGGCCTTGCATTCGAATATTCGAATAATTCGAATAATATACCTTGTCCAAATATTCGAATATTAAATCTATATTCGAATATTCGACCAATTTTCTAAAAGTCAAACTCGTAATCATAGATTAATGATAAGTCATCGCGCGCTCTTGACTAGATACCGCCGGCGCTCATGTAAAATGCGCAACAAATACTACGCCGAAATCGGCGTGCCCGAGCCAGTCGCGTTGCAGTTAAGAGAGATATTATAGCAGAGAGAAGTATCTAACGCAAAGTTCTTGGACCCCATTAAAACAAAAATGAAATATGGATCGAAGAGCTCCATATAATCTGCGGGATTAAATCGTCTAGACTTAACATCAGTTGTACCCGCATGTTCGTTGGTCCTATCACCTATATAAAAAAAAACTTAGTTGTCTCTTCCACGTGTAAAGGATGAGAGATGATCGTACATGGAGATCATACATTGGACGACGGCTTACCGGTTGACGTCCAAAGTATCAGTTAAGTTATGTGGTAGAAAAATCACCTGCACACGTTACTTCGTATTTCATATTGTGGATGTTAGGCTTTGCGAGTGGAATAATTTGTCAGCATTTATCTTTTCTCCCGATTAAAATGTGAGTGACCTAAAGACAATAAATACGCTTTTGCTAAGTTAAAGTACGAAACGGTCCAAGATAGGAAGGAATATCAACACGGGTGGGCATAATATACTTTGGATCGCTGAGTTGAAGGGCCTACGCGTACAAAGAACTATTATCCGGTGTACGATCATTCGTATGTCGGTAATTTTTGTGCTTGCTATGAAAGCGAATACTCTATGATTACGTTGTGTATGTACATGAAGTTTGAGGAAAAAGGAAAACCAGTTTCCAGAGAAAATACTGTATATATCCTTATATCTGCTCAACGCGAACCAAAACCTTGGTACGGTAAGGGTATTAATTTGGGGAAACGCGGATTCTCGCGTTTAGTTCGGTCCGGTTTGTCAATATCCGCAGTTCTTTGGGGGACTTTTGTACGAGGTACTTTCAGTCCAGAGTGTGCGTTGTGCGATGCAGTTATGAGATAAGCTATCTATTTTAAAGGACCAAAAAATACGCCGAAAATTGCCCCTTTGCGCAGGCTCTTAGTAATATTAATAATACAAATTCAATTCCTTGTTATCACGAGATAAATGGTCAAATACCCATTAAGTATGTTCTTTTAATAAATTACATCTACCAATTAAATAATAATTAAATTCCAATAAGGCCACTTCTATTTCGCGTTCAATTAGTTACCCAAAGGAAAGACTAAAAGCACAATCATTTTTGACCGAATGAATACAAATATAATGAATATATTATAACAAATATAATTTTGTAATTAATAGGTCTCTTGTTCATTATTTAAAGAAATTTCTAGATACATTTTAACTTTCTTAGTACCCAAAAGAGAACTTTATCGATAGTCTTATTATAATTGACTCTAGCAGTTCCGTAATGAAATAGATTACTTGTACATTAATATTGTTTGGGCTACTATTTTACGTAATTATATTATATATATATATACAATACATTTTTTTGAAATTGAAGCAAGCTGAATATTTAATGTTAAAATAATTATTCCTTAACATTTACACATTCTGCTAGATATAACCGGGTACTTTTGTGTTTTTATCGCACATTTGAAATAGCATAGTGAATTCATGGCACAACATTTATAATTTTTTTTTTATATTAATTAATGGAAACGAAAAGTAATACTAGAACTAGAAGAAAGATGCCGACTGTGGCCAAACGGCGTGTAAATATCTAAAATTGCAGGGACGCGGCGATTACCACCTAAGCAGTTAATAGTTACCGGTTTGAAATTTACTCGTCAAATATACTTACATACAGAGAGAATAAATACAAGATGGTCATAGTTTGTACGTACATACACAAGCGCCGTGTATTATCTATGCAAGCCTCTATGAATGTTATTCCCGTCCAAAGACGGATTCAATTAGCGAAGCGAATCGTAAATTGGTATCATTAGGCGACTGGAATAATATCCAGCTACTGTAAATAGACCGAGAGTATCATTCTATATCTATGCTGACGGATACAACGAGTTCTGTAATAACCAAGCTCTTGATAAATGGTGGTATGACTTGATTACGACCCATCACCGTCGCCCTCTCGCATGACGACTACGGAGGAAGCTCTCCGTGACGTAACTCGTTTGCTGTGGCGGAGTTGCCAAATGGGTTAGGAGCGTCATTCAGCGACCGCCCCGCCCAATTGTCTCGGCACTTCGCATGCATTCGCTCCCTGGCGACTAGACGTGTCGGCAAGGTCGCTGCGCCATGCGACACGCGCCGGCACCGGTCACCGGCTTCGACATCCCGCGACGGGACTAACGTTTAGAATAAACATGAACTAACCTGTTCTTTTCCAACTCGTTATGAGTCGTCCTGGAACAGAAAAGCAGACATTGTAACTTCACAGCACTGATTCACAAACTTTTCCACTTAACACTCATCCACAACACTATCACTGTTCCGCGGGTGATCAACTCACCTGCTGCCTTGCGATTTTTTCGTCTTGGGCCGCCTTCCGCCCCGAGACTCTTCGTAAACCGGCAAACTCGACGCGTATCCGTGCTCCGCTTCTGCAACAAAGAAAACTGCAATTCCGTCAAAATCAGCTGATTGCCGCACGGCAAAAATAGACGGGAGCCATGTTGACGTGTGCGAGTAGTGCACTCGATTGACAATTCAAACAAAGAAAATTCAATTCACCTCTGTCCCTCCTCTCGATGTATTCAGCGGCTTGGATCAGTGCAGCAATACTCATATTTATCGTATCCCGGTTTAGCACAGGTATTCACAAACGTCACACGACTTTATTCGATTGAAAACTATAAATAAAAGTATTTTATCCGCTCCGAAGTTCACGACTGCGTTTACCGATGTCAAAAACACACTAGGCGAGATGGGACGCGCGACCGTGTAGAGCGCTTCGCGATTTGTCGGCGGCGTTCGTGCACGTTCGGCCGACCAATAGACGTCGAGCAATGTCCACAATAAAATACCTGGGTCAATCACGTGAACTTTGTGTTTCCAAACAAAACATTTTTTCCATACGCTCTTTATGGCGTGAGAGATATTGAACAATTTCTATTTTCTCGCACACGTAATGTATGCCGGTTGCACAAAAATTAGATGCGCGCTTAACGCCACGTTGCGTTTTAATTATAAACATAAGTTTGCAATTTTTAAAGCTAGCGCGCTAATTCAATGTCAACAAAACATTTTTAGTGATAAGTTATCGGTTATCGTCAGCAACAAGCTTTCTTCAGAGATTCTTTTTCTTTTTATTTATAGAATAATTGTATTTACTTATATTAAAATAAGGTTTGCAATAAAAGACGGTATTTTACATTTGAGAAACACTTTTAATGTTTAAAACTCTTAAACAAATCTTTAAAGTTTCATTTAAAATTTTCAGCATGTGGAGGCGCGCGAACATGACAGGCAACAGATGTTTTCTTGGTTCCTGAAAACAAACAAAATGTTACCATACAAAGAAATATTTAATCTTGTTTTCTTATAGCATTCTAATAGGAAGTGAAATATTTACAAAACAGAGGGTGCGATTATATATTTCCTGTACTTTTAGTCTATTTTATAGAAATTTATTTATATTTATTATTTGTAAAATATATTACTAAAATATCTCACCCTCAAAACAAGACTGAATAGGCACTTTGCTAACATGTTTACCTCTACAACTTTATTATCCTTTAATATGTCTAATCCATCCATCGCAGCCTGTAAAAGTCCACTGCTCAACATAGGAGAGGGGTATTTGCCACAGTTGCTACGCTTGGCACGTGGGTTGACAATAGCAGTATTTAATTTTCTAGTTTTTATCAGCAATATGCAGCTACTCATCACGTTTGTTTCCCCTCTGTCTACTCTTACGAGATCCACGAGACGATATGGGGTAGTAGATATTCTTACTACGTCAAACAATGGGCAGTTAATAATAAAAATACAAATAATTCAGAGTTTTATTACTCATCAACAAAACACTGACCCAACAAACCATGTTTTTCATGTTTATATTATGGCCCTTATTATTAAAATCTTACTTTCATGATCATTTTTGGCAGCCTTCACCTCATTGAGTTTAATGGCAGAAGTCAAGTACTATTTCAGAAATGTAAAATTCAGCATTAGACGGCGTAATATAGTGACATTTATTCAAATCCGTCTTTTCTTACCGTTAATATTCTAGTCTTCCTGTAATATTGACTGATCAATCTGACCATAGAACTCAAAAATCCGCATATTAGATGAGGTCTAAAATCACATGTGTGGTCATTGATTTCCACACAATTTTTCAACAACGATGGCAACCCCAAGATGTAATTAAATATCAGGCACCATTCCTCCTAAAAATAATTATGAATTAATATTAACTGGATGCAAGTTTAGGTTTAGTAAAGTGTAAATATTATTTTTATAGCTACTCATTTCATTAAGCTTAAAGGGTTTTGAAGCAGGGACAAGGTGACCACGTCGCTCCCAGTACATGTTTGCAAACTTTTCAACATGTCCTCAAAATATTTTGAAATTCGAGCTAGAGTACAATTTTATTTATTTTCGTCAACCCATGTGGCTAACAGAAGGCATTCCAAAATGCCAACACACAATCTTAAATGAAAATAAAAATATTAAATATTGGGTTAACTATAAATTACAAAGTAAGTTTAAATTTAACCTTTAATAATTATTCCCTATCCTTATATAATGAACAGGATGCAATTTTCTCGAATTTGAAGGAAAGATCATGAGGAAATCTGCAATTTTGCTTAAAATTAAACATGTCTAAGAAACAAAGTATATGAAGGACATGTTAAATGCACCAACACACACGGACACAGCATAGCACACTAATCACTTCATAACTCTCAGAAGTGGGAGGAGGCCATGGGCTCAGCACTAGAAGGTATATAATATGCTGTAGTTTTACTTTCTTTGCTTTCTAAACAGCCTATAAAACTACATATCCAGACGTCAACCTCTCCTGTTTAAGGGAGGATTTGCTTTCATCATCACTCTTGGCAGTTGGATTGAAAATTGCAGTACCAGACTTTACGCATCTTTGACGCTGCTGCCCATCACTGGTCAGTGTTATTTTTTGGATTTTTTAAGTCTGGAATAAACATAATGATTTCTTATATTCATGCAAATACTGCACATTAAACCAAACTAATTTTACGGATTTTATAGCATTTAATTTGAACTTTTTTTTTGCAACAGTTTGGGTGCTTTACAGTACCCATGGTCACATAGGGACTGAGGTGTTTGACGTCCTGATGTCATAGTTAGGCCGGCTACCTTCAGTTTTCAAATATTAACGTTTGGTCTGATTTACACAGAACGAGCTTACAGTATCTTGAAGTCTTGCAGTGGTGTGTTTGGGTTTGGCTTTAATTTTATTAATATAGGATCCCAAGCAGATGGTAGCACCAATCCATCTTCTCTATTGAAATTAAGATGTTATTTTTAATTTGAGCCTTGGTAGGATTCGGTGCTTTTTTGTGAGGATTTGTGGTCTATCAAATCTAATGTAATGGTGGCGACGATCTTGAACATGTTCAAAAACTGCAGTCTATCTGGAGCATTGATGCTTCACGTCAGCTACATGTTTTTTTACGTGGATTTTTATTGATCTTTCTGTTTGCCCTATATAAGAGAGATCACATTGACAATCAAGCTTGTGAACTCCTGCATCTTGCAGTTTCGTTTGATCTGGCGTAAACATGATGGTTTTAACGCCATCTGTCGGAAGCAATAATTTACTAGCATATCCCATAGTCAGTTTTTACAACACCCACAGACGAAATTTGTAAATAATTACCTCCTGAGTTAATAATGTGAAATCAGTCTTCTCAAACTCTGGTAACGGTGGATAGGTTCCCTCATTTACTCTCTCATTGTATGTCCTTATTATTGTTTCCAATCTGGCACAGTTGTATAAAATAAATGCTGCACCTGTAAATAAAACATTAAAACATTTATATGTCTCACTAGATACAACATAGATTTTGTTGAACTTATTCATCATCATTATCATCATAACAGCCTATCAAAATCCACTGCTGAATACAGGCCCCCACAAAGATTGCCTCATAAGGAGTCTGTTAATAACTACATTTTTTTATTTTTTAGTAGGAAGATGCTGCTGACCGTCTTTTGGTTTGTGTCCCTCTATACACCACTCTGTACTTTGTATTATACATTCTTACATCACAGTCAGGCGTGTCACTTTGTAAAAATCTGAGGTATGGAAAATGGTGGCGCGATTTTCAAATTTGTTCGCATTACTCGTGGGGTATTAAGGTTTAAGAGTTTGCAGTGTATATACTCAACTTATTTATTGAACTATAAGATGTGGGGTATTGAGGTTTAAGGGCTTGCGATTTATTTATATGGGGTTTGTAGTAATATGCGATTTATTTCCTAATTTCAGCTATGGAATTCCATACCTTGAAAAACTTGAGGTATGGAGTGCTCCATACCTTCCATAGTGGAAGTGACACCCCTGATCACAGTGTACTGTGTAGTTGTGGTATAAGAATATCCACTAATCTATATTGTCCCATGGGTGTCATAAGAGGCGACAGAAGGAAAGAAACTCAAATTATTCAAGATTGTAGAAAAATGCTAATGTAGCAAATTATTTTCATTAGAATGAAGCAAAATCCTGTAGCAAAAATATAAATAGTTATCAACATAAGCTTGCAAAGAGTAATCTACTCGAAATGGACTTCATCAATTATCATTATAGCCCTTTACAAGTTCACTACTGAACATAGGCCACCCCCAAGGAATACCACAAAACACAGTACCTAGCCACCTGCATCCATCGACTTCCTGCATGTTTTACCAGGTCGTCACTCCATCTAGTGGGGGCCCTACACTTCGTCTGCCAGTATGAGGCTACCACTTGAGAACCCTTCTTCTATATGAAATGAACTGGTCATAAGGAGTTTTCATATGGAAGAAAACACTTTTTTGAATTCTTTTTGAACTTGGTTGAAAATCAATTTTCTTAAATTACCATTTTCAACAGAGTTCAAAAAGGAGGGGGTTTAAAATTCGTCAGAATCTATAGTTTTTTTTATGTATGTTCACCGATTACTCGAAGACGCCGAACCGATTTGGAAAATTCTTTTTTTTGTTTCAATGTATGTAATTCCCAGGTGGTCCCCTTTTATCGAAATTGGTTAAGGTTTTAAAAAATATCATATTTATATACAAAAGTCGGTTGTACAAAATTTTTATCAGAAATCAAATTACTAGACTTCTTGCTTCGCAAACATAACTATTTGCTCAATCATCAGCATTTTTTAAAGCATGGAATTTAGTGAAGGTAATGTCCTACAACATACACTAAAGCATAGTGGTGGACATGGATTACTCCTTCGTAAGCCCTTTCGGAAATGAAGTGAGGTCTGTACCCAGTGGTAGAAATGATAATTTGTCAGCTTCCAAAAAACTATTATTCCACTTATATCTAAAGAACAAGATATGATAATTGCTTATTTTCCACACAAAGCTCTAAGTGGGAGCATATAATAAATTAATCAATACTTCAGTACATACATAGTTATGTCTCTGAAAGTCCTAATTTATATGCATTTCATAGTCTTTTCTGCCGACTTCCAAAAAGGAGACGGTACTCAATTTGACTGTATGTTTTTTTTATGTGTGTTACCTCATAACTTTTCACTAGGTGAACTGATTTCGATGATTCTTTTTTTATTTGAAAGCTGATACTTCTCATGTGGTCCCATATGAATTTGATCAAGGTCAGACCAATAGTTATTGAGTTATTCTTAATAACTTATATTGAAGTCCGCTGTACAAAATTTTTAATTTTAAATTATCATAACTATGGAATATCTTGCTGTAACTATCTGTTTTAAGTAAATACTGCAATTTAGAGAGTTTTACGGCAAATTGTCTACTGCTCTATCCCAACACATAATGCTAGTTGATTTCACATGTCTTTGAAATGTTTTTTATGTCTGAGCCATGCAAGTTTTGCTAAAGATGTTTTTCTTCACCACCAAGCATTTGGTAAATAAGCTTAAAATTGCAACAGTAAATTTATTGGCGCATGAAGGGATCAAACACAGGTTGTATAGATCCTGAAAAAAACTGAAAGGAGGCCTGCACACAGTAGTGGTGGTACTACTGTAGGTTGTAACTTTGATTCACATTACAGCATGTTAAATAAGTATTAAGACAAATTGACAAGTTACCTCTACTTGAGCCAGAGGAAACATCGAAATTAATTTTTACAGCACAACTTGGTTTAGTCTGTAGCAGTTCAAATGTCACAGCGGATTCTCCTAAATGTGAGATAAACTCTTTCCATTTAGTATCAGTTGCAACTCTTACTCCATATTTATGTTGTGCAATTAATGTTAGCTCATTCTGACGCAACCTGAAAACAAAGACAGACTGTTGTTAATACTTACAAAATATTTCATATTTTTTTGACAGAAGAAACCCCAAATTTTTTACAATAATAACAGATACTGTGTCAATCAGGATAATAAGGAAAAGTATGATACTTTGATAACAAAAATTTAAAAATTGTAGATTAGACAAGTTGTACAACCAGAAATATTCTATTAAAGGGAAAATAAATAAATAAAGACGTAATGACTTAAGAATCAAGTAAAACATTTATTTAGTTTTTGACACCTATGTTATTATTAACATCCCTAAGATTAGACTGTTATCAAGGAAAGCTTTTTTTTTTATAGAATTAGGGTAACAAACAAGCACACAGTTCACCTGATGGTAAGTGGTTGCTGTGGCCCATAGACATCTACATCTATTCTCTCTTGCAAATCAAAATGCAGATATGTTGTCACCCGTGAGGACTAAGATGGAATGCCACGTTTCCAGTAAAAAAGGGTCTCCGGTTCTCTACACTCACCATATGAAACACAGCAGTGTTATGCTGCTATTTTATGGTATTTTGTGAGAGCGTGGTCCTTCCCCAGACGAGCGGACTCATTTGTGCTACAACTATAAGAGTAATATAGCTGCAGCATGGCTCTACTACGTAAATAAATTGTGTTATTGTCACTTATATGACACAATGAATCACCATAATTCCGTAGCTTTACAGTTTTATCTATAGTTTTGCATGTCATATATACATATATTACCATGACTGCTGAATGGCATGTATAATACATGTATAATGCTCAAAATAAAAAAAGATCAAATATTAAACATTTTTGGATGGACCTATTATCAAATTATCAACAATATACCTACCTAATAAAGTCTTCTCCATTCAATGCATTTTCCTTAACACTTGTGTTTGCATTTAGAACAGTACCACACAGTACTAATCTCCCTTCATAGTTCTTTTGATTTGATGACTTTGAAGTCAGGACTATATTGGATGCTTGTGGTAAATGAGTGGAATTAATTACCAGCAAGTGATTTATTACATCACTCAAACATTTTAGTCTCAGGGAGGTTATACAGGACCCTTCACAAAGTTTATCTACAAGCGAGAAGAACGTATTTCCACTTAATTTATTGGAAATCGAGTTATTATTTTGTATTGCACTTGTTAATCCGACCTTAACGCCTCTATTTCTATCGAGAAATATATGAATACGATCTTTTATTTTCTTCGCATCTATAATTGGTATAACCCATTCCTGTGATGTAATAATTATATCCATCGTCTCTTTTCCAATAGAGTTTAATAAAGTGAAGTCTTTTAATTCAGAATTTGTATTTGTGTTAATATATTCGTGCCATGATTTAACTGTGTTGGGAAAACTAAACTCGCCTTGTGTCTGTAGGTTTACTGAATGCTTTTTTACTAACATTCCTTTGATATCTTCATAATTGCCAATTAGAAATTGATAAATATTTCTTGTAATTATAAAAACAGGGTCTTCCAACATAACTTAAATAATTTCTTATTTGTTATCATAGACATAGATAATACACACAAACTGATAATACACTATTTGCGTAGTGTTTCTATATAGTTTGTGACTATTTGTTATGGTTAGGATGGTTAGATTAACACCACAGAGACCACCATAGAGATATATACTTCTAATGACGGCTATTCACGTTAGCCAACATAAGGTCGAATGTGTTGGCAAAGATACTGGCCAAGAATGTGTGATCGCGTCCACACGTTGAAAGGTCGTTCAGTTTGCTTCGGTTCAGGCCAATGTGCGGACGAATTTATTTAAATGATTATTGAAGCGCTAACGGCTTATTTTTTTATTTAATTTTCACTATTTTTAATATTTAATAATTTTAATATAAATTTTTAATATTTCTTTATTATACACTAACGTTGTACAGATAAGTAAACTATAAAACACCTACCCATAGGTATAATTAACACTTTTACAACTAAGGCCTGGAAAATATTCGAAGCCTGTCTGTGAAACTGTTGTAAAATTTTTATTTAACAAAACCTTTTTAAAAAAGGGTTATTATATAATTATAGAAACAATTTATTTATTTACACTTTCATGCACAAAGTAGTACATATGGCGAACTTAATAATAATAATAAATAATTAATTTCGTCAAACATTAAAGTTACATTATACGATCAGTGATCGAGATCACCTAGTAAGCAAAATAATGCCTGTAAGAGGTGACTTCGCTAAGTAGCTAAAAATTACAGTATTATTAACGAAATAAAGTAACTAATAGGGAATAATAAAGACAGTAAAAACATAATTTTAGTATCCTACTTTTTAATTTGATTTTAGTATCCTACCTAGTCTCATAGCATTAATACATCAATAAATCAATTAATACATCAATAAGTAAATTAATTAATCAATCACTACAACGTGAATGTGTATAAGAAAAGGGTGATCAAAAAGAAATGGAAAGAAAAAAAATATTTCTTGACGGCTCCGTGGCGTAGTGGCTTAGCAATGAGTTGCTGCCCTGGGGGCCGCAGGTTCGAATCGCGCACGGAACAAGTGTTTGTATAGCCTGCACATAATTTCTCCGGGTCTGGATGTTTGTCCTTATGCAATTTATGTTTCTAAACTACCTCCACGATACAGCAGAAAATCCTAGTGTGGGGATAACATTTTTTTTTAAAAAGACTTGTATTTCACAAACAATTTTAAACACAAACACACAACAATAACACAAACAATAAAGCGAAAAGTTTTTTCATTGGTCATTGTTACTGCCGTTATCTAGACACTTATGATGCGTGCATATTAAATTTAAATCAGGTGCGTGCAATCTCTTTTGGAGCTTGTAGCAAACTGAACGTGCGCCCAACGTGTGGACGCGGCGGCCAATACTCTGCCACAACCCTTTGATCTTTTGTAAAAAACCGACACCAGACGGATCTCGCGCCAACTTGTGGGCCATCGTTCCAATACGCACCAACGTAGCTTAAACACCCGCTCTACACGATGGCCTTCGTTGTTGGCCAACACATTCGCCAGTATGTTGGCCAACGCGAAGAGCCGCCTTAACACATTCGCCAGTATGTTGGCCAACGTGAAGAGCCGCCTTAAGGCCGGCCACATACATACGGAATTCCGTTTCGTGATGCCGTGAATACATCACACACACACGTTTTTTTCCGTTCGGAATAACAAGGGTTAGTTGAGAGACGTTAGCCATTGAGTCTAGACATTCTGCCAGCGAATAATGACGACGATTTTCTAATTGCGATTCCATTGTTGCTGTATCATTCTTACTAGGTGCATCCCCTTATCACCCTAAGCTTGCAATATAGTCAATACTATGTAAAAAGATCTATCTATCCAGAGATATTTTTTAAATATTTATGTATGTAAATTCTTTCGACGAATTATTAAATTAAATAAGATGAAAGGTTACGTAAAGCTATACACCTACAAGATTAAATGTAAAAACATACATAAACACACCTACTCTCTTCGGTCGTGCGATGAACACTGAGCGTGTTCCGTACGGAATTTACGTATGTGTGTTGCGACTCGTACAAAATCTATGGAAGACGTGCGATCGTAGCGGCTTTTTTCCGTTCGGGATCCCGAACGCACAGGCGGTCATACGAAATCTCGAATCGGAGAAATTCCGTACGGAAAAATAACGTACGTGTGTGGCGGGTCATAGATTTTATATGGACTTGCTGCGTTCGGAATCTCGAATCGAAATATCGAAACGGCATCCCGAAACGGAATTCCGTTTGTATGTGGCCGGCCTTAGTCAGTGTCAATAACACATATTTTAGAACTGAAATATAATATTTTATACAAATTATACTTATACGGTTTATACAAATACTCTGTGATCTCGGTGATTTTAATCAACGCAACCAGTGTGACCATCTTTAAAATACAGATCCTGCCTTACTTTGGTTAAAAACTTTAACTTGTTAAACTGCTATTTTACGCTGGTATTCTGTGAGAGCGTAGCCCTTCCCCACTCGAGCCGACCCATTCGTGCAACAACTATAATATAGCTGCAGCAATGCTCTACCACGTATGAATTAATTAAATTTATTAAAGAGAATATTCTTTCACATGCTGAATCCACTCTTATTTTTTTGATGTTTACTAATAGCGGCATGCTTCTTTAAAGCGGACAGCCGGGATGACAATTTGCATTTACACATTCTGGATCATCTTTAGCTTTAGAGATGAAAGTAAAGGTCTTGCTCCCACTCCTCTTTATACGTCCACGAAATATTATTAACGAAATATCGCTAACAAGATATTATCACCATGAAATGTAATGCGATACCAAACTAAAGTACGTCTCTTCTATGACTGATGGAAATATTATATATTATATCGTCTTTATGAATACTCGTTATAAAATTATAAACTTTACGCAAAAAACTTTTAAAGTTGTTTATTTAATGTTATACTAACATAATACGAGAAGTACTGTGAAATCCCCCACATGCTAGCGAAGTTTCTAGATTGCCATTTTCGGCATTTTAAGTTGCCATGATGAAATTTATTTTTATTACCCCAATACTGCCAAATACTACCAGGTTTTATAAAACGTGAACCGATCATGCCAGAAGCTAAAATAAGAGGCCAATCTTGCCAAAATAGCAGGAACCTGCTACATATGGTCACACTGAACACCACGGCTGGTTATCTGTCACAGAGTACTTTTTTATATTATCTGTTATCTCTTATTATTTTTATTTCTTGTTGCAAAGATAGTAGACTTATGCCCAAATACTCAAACGATACTTATATTGTTTTTCGGCTTTTTTCTATTACGTATGGCCTCAGTACATTCAGAATCCCACCATGGAGGGCAGGGCTTACACTTATTATTTAGACTTTTAATAGGAGTTGTTTGGTCTGCTGCATTAATAATTGCGTTTGTAAATGCTTCAACAATTGAAGTTAAATTGTTTTCAGAAATTAGGAGCGATTTAAAGAATTTAATTGTAAAGAAAAATATTATACAAGTTCCAGCCTGCTCTGTCCTTCTTATTAGTTTGTGGCCCTGTCTAATTTTTATTCAATACATGTTTTTTTTTGTTAATTTCTGCCGATTCTTTGTTTGGAGAGGCCAATGCCGTATCTATCAGAATTATTACACCATAAATCATGATGGCTATTAAAGTAACCAAAAATTAAAAATGGTTTGGGGAAAGAAGCTATTAAAGTGAAACGTATGAATAGAAGGAGAGGGAACATAAATAGAAACGAAAGTAATATTTTGAATTCCTACTGCAAAATCATTGAATTCAAATATTTCATCATAAATATCTATAATGGAATAAGCAACATTATTCTTTATAAGCAAAGCACATTCGGCATAACCATCAGATCTGTAATTTCTAACACAACAAAAACCAGGGATTCTGATGTTGGAATCTGGTTTCGGCTATGTCTTTTTTTTATAGGATAGGGTGACAAACGAGCACACAGCCCACCTGATGGTAATTGGTTGCTGTGGTCCATAGACATCTACATTTATCCTCGTTTGCGAATAGTTGCAGATGCAGATGCAGATGCGTTTTCACCCGTGAGGACTAAGATGGAATGCGTCTTTTCCAGTAAAATGGGTCTCCGGTTCTCTACACTGACCATACGGAACACAGCAGTGTTAAGGTGCTATTTTACGCTGGTATTCTGTGAGAGCGTGGTCCTTCCCCGGTTGAGCCAACCTATTCGTGCTACAACTATACTACTAATATAGCTTCAGCATGGCTCTACCACGTCTAAAATATGGAATAGCAGCAATACAAACATTGTATTTTTTTAATAAATAAATTATTTCAGTACGTTTATCTAAAATGCTTCTACAATTCCATTGAAGGATCCTTGTGAGAGTGAATGTCATAATGAGTTTCAGGTATAGAATTTAGTAAGTGAGCAACGTGGGACGGTAACTTTGACGAATACAAAGACATGATTATTTTTATAAGGGTATTTATAATTCTTTCCACAGAATCAAAATTACCCTGTGAAGTATCTGGTAAAACCGGAAGAGCACAACCATCCTCTGGTTGCGTAATTGAAAAATCTGCATAAACTTTTGAATTTTTTTTGTCGTATCCTATGTGTGTACGGTAACGGAATGTTTTAGGAATAAATAATGATTTCTTAAAAGAAGTTTTAAAGTTAAGAAGTTTGAAGCCGGGTGTGAAGGAAAGTGATCCATTGTAGGATCAGTAGAAACAAAGAATTTCCTGGGTTTTTTTTTCAAATCAGAACATCAGCATATGATTTTGAAGAAACTTAGGGATATTTTTGTGATACTTCTAGATATGCGATAGAATTTTGTGCAATTCCGATTTTAATATTATTTTGTATTGTGTGGTCAGGACATCTAGAATCTCTGGCTTAGTGGTTAACTGAGCAGAATAAGCAACGAAAGGTCCCAATATCTTTGTCGCAGAAGAAGAAGAGTGATCATTGCCACATTTTGAGCATCTTGGCTTGGAATGA